ATAGGATATAGCTAAAAACACCTACATGGGACTTCCCTATCCAGTGGTTAAAACTCCTCTTCCACTGCAGGAGGCACAGGTTTGATCCCTGGTCCAGCAACTAAGATCACACATGCTTCAGGGCATGGCCAAAAATATATAAATAATAAAATAAAAATAGCCTATTCCCAAACTCTCTAAAAAACGAAAAGAAAAATTTTAAAGACTATACTGGGTCTATAAACTATGGCCAGTAGGTGAAATTTGATTCATGTATTTTTTCCACAAATGAGATGGTTTTCACTTTTTTGAACAGTGGGGGAAAATTATAATAATATCTTTTGGCATGTAAAAATTATACAAAATTCAAGTTTCGGTGAGCATAAATAAAACTTGTTTTTCAGTCGCTAAGACATGTCTGACTCTCCAACCCCGTGGACTGCAGCACACCATTTCCCTTAACCACCTCCTGGAGTTTGCTCAGACTCACGTCCATTGAGTCAGTGATGCCATCCATCTGTATTGGAACCCAGCTCCACCTGCTGGTTTACTGTTCTCTCGGGATACCTGCCTGAAAAAGGACATACGCCTGGTCGGGGCATAGTCTGTACAGTCCCCAAAGCTGAAAATCTCCTCTCTGGTCCTTTGCAAAAAAGGTCTGGAGGACTACTAGTCTATACTCGGGCTTCCCCAGTGGTTCAACAGGTAAAGAATCCACCTGCAATGCAGGAAATAAGAGTTCGATCCCTGGGTGGGGAAGATCCCCTAGAGGAGGAAATGTCAACCCACTCCTGTATTCTTGCCTGGGAAATCCAATGGACAGATGAGCCTGGTGGCTACAGACCCTATGTACTGGGGTTGGGCACAACTGAGCCCTCACATGTGTGTGCATGCACATGTGCGTGCGCACACACACACACACACACACACGAGTCTATACTACAAGGTGAAATGTTATATATCAATATATATAGGTTTTTACAAAGCATTTGAGGGTTAAGAAAAGGAGAAACTAATATTTATTTAACCCACCATGTGAGGTGGGAGAAGAGATACACAGGTGTGCTCCATTTTAAGACTCAGTGCAAGAAAAACCCAGCCTTTAAAACAGAGAAATTTAAAAGTAGCTATTTGCATAACAAAATTTTCCCTTTCATTTTATAAAGGGATTCACCATGGGGTTCCTTTGTAGAATGAGCCTCCATAATGCACGCTAATATGATTCCATTTACAAATATTCTCTTCATAATAACTCTTCAAGAACAGATCTGTTGTGTACAGTGAGGCTTAGCGAGCATCATTTTTTCCTGGCAGCATCAGGTTTCCCACATCTGAAAAGTTACTGACCTTGTCAATTTAGGCGGCAGGTGGGGAAGTGCTGCCTTCCCACCGACTCCAAGAGGGGCTTTGCCTGACAGATTGAAAGGGGGAGAATTTCCAGCATGTGTGCCTAGGAAACCCCATGGACAGAGGAGCCTGGCAGGATACAGTCCATGGGGTCACAAACAGTCAGACACGACTGAGCACACACACAGGATTCCCTCTTTCCCCGGGGCCTGAGCCTGAATCTTCCAACAGCTCTGTGCTGTTATGCCAACGCTCTTTTTCAGAGATACAGAAAATGGAAACTGTGGCTATTCATAGCCAAATTAGGAGGAGCTGAAATTGTTCAAGAAGTTGCTTCCCTGGTACCATTTTGATGGAAACTATGTGTTTCTTCTGAACACATCACCTGACTCTGGCTTTCAAATGCAGACTCTTTTAAAGAACTGTCTCCCAACTTTTGTTTTCATCCTCTGTGGTGACATATTTTAGAAGTAGATAAGCATCCCTAGTATATAGCCTGACTGTTTTTCAGGGATTTTGGTGGTACACGAAACTTAAATGGAAATATAAGGGCAGATAAAATCGTGCTGGGGGCATCCTGTTGGCATGCGGGGTGATCTATGTCTCAGGGCTGCTAATGGGCATTCCGTGCTATTTGTAAAGCAGGAGAGGGAGAGAGATGCAGAGGGCTGGTGAGGAAACAGAGCCAGCACCTGGGGCAGGAGCCCTGCATGATTCAGAGGCAGGATTCCTGGACAAATGGTACCATCCCCGGGCCTGGGATGAATGGGGGAAGCGGCTGACAGTGGCACCTGAATGCTGTCACTTCTCATTCACACTATGGCAGGTAGCAATGCAGCCGTTTCTAAGACTGATCACTGGAAGGGAAAGCACATTTAACCCATCTGTGTGGCTCTCTGAAGAGGTGTCTGTCTTCATGTTCCCCTGAGGTCAGGAGCACTCTCCTGCAAACAGCAGTGAGAAGGCTCCACTGCCTTCTTGGGGCTGCTGCCCTTTCTTTCTCAGTCCCACCCCCCACCTTTTCTCTCATGGAATTGTTGCTACCAAGTTTTATCTCCATCATTTATTACTTTTCCCTTGCAGATGCAGTATGTAGTAGTGGTAGGTACAGACTTTCAAACAAAATGGATAAATACTGAATAAACTGTTAGCTGTTTTCTTTTTCCCGGGTGGTAATTTTTAAATTTTCAAAATTAAAACTAATGGATAGCAAGGAATAGGATATCAATTTCCATGCATTTTTATGATCAAACAGAAGACCAACCCCTGGGGCTGGCACATTTACCGTTCTCTGCTATTAGGGAAGCAGGGAACAGTAAATTCAAGGGAAGAGCTTGCAAAGCCCTGTGATTTGAAGGAAAACAGAGCAACCCCCCACCCCTTCCAGCCGGGGCATCTCTCTGCCACCAAGCAGCATCTGAACAGATTTCATTTCACAAATGGAAATGGGACGCAGGCAAATTTTTTCAAAGTGATTTCATGAAGAGTGGGCCTGTTTAATTGAGTTTTCTGAGCCAGGATTAATATTACAAGCTGGGGAGCGCTGCAGTGTGCCTCTGTTGTTGGCTTTGCGACACCACCTGTCTCCTGGGGGAAGGCAGAGAAAAGTGCCACCATTCAGAAGCAATTTTCCTTCTGCTTCCAGCCTTCTCACTGAATGACTTAGAGCCAGCCTGGACCAAGCATCCAGGCCTGATATGAGTTACATGTAATGTAGGAAAGATCTTTCTAAGCTCAAGGTCATCTCTAGAGCATGGCTTAGATTCTTTTCTTCATCTCTAATGTATGTGATTTTCTAATATGTCTAGCATTTGCCCTCTCCTTGTCTCCATCCTGCTTATTAAGGTAAATTTGCATAGAAATGGGATCTTGGTTTTCAGGACCATTCACCTGACACTTGATCTCCTGATGTGACCAGTGTCTGCTGCTGATACCATGAGGGTGACCCACAGGAACCCATCATCCTGCAAACCAGAGGCAAGGCCTTAATTAGGGAAAGCTTTGCATGTAAAAGTAATGGGGTGAATCCAATCAGCAAAAGCATTTAGCTTTCACCCAGGAGGACAGAGTACTCCTTCCTGTTGAGTGGGTCATCCCAGGTCACAAAAATTTTAATTTGCCTTAGATGGACAGATCTTGAAGAAAGTGCATAAAAAGTATATAGATTTTGAGTCTGGGAATAAGTTTTGGCTGGTGATAAAGCTCAGGCAGAGGGCTATGACATTTTACTTTGGTTCCTGAAATATTTTTTGCTTAATATGTCTTTGGGATTGGTAATGTTCATCCCTACAAATGGCCTTTGGAAGACCAAGCAAATGTGGAGAATCAGAGGAGGTGCCCCTCGCTATCACTGCTGCAGCAGTCAGCTTTAATCCCCTGCTCTATGCGAGTCACCCCCTCCCACCGGCAACCACCTTCCTTATTTACCTAAATCTCCTCATTTGGGCGGAAATTCCCACTGAGAGGACAACGGTGGTCCCAGTTTACTGGTCATTGAAAGTCAGTTAGGTTTGAAGGTTTCTGAGCCACAGAGTTTCGTACTTAAGACACATTTTGCAAAACATTAACGCCAAACAGCAGCGTTCAAGACGGTGTCCTGACGGTGAGCAGAGAACCAAAGAACTTGAGGGTCATGGAGAATAAGCATCAAATTTCAAAGAGAAAACTTTATAGGAGGCAAGGGAAATCAGAAGAAAATTATTTCAGCTTTTGGCTAGACTTCCTTTGCTGAGGATAAATTCATTCTACAAAATTATTCAAAAACATAAATGCTATTCCCTCAGTTTTGTCTTGGATAACATCTGGTGTCTATTATTTAATTTCATCTTACATCCTTCTTCATTGAACATTATGATCACCCTTTTATGAACAAGGAAACTGAGACTCTAGGAGGTTTGTTTACTTGCACAAGATCACACAGCTGTCCATCAACAAAACCAGGACTTTGCTCTCTTTCTATTACACCCCACTGTCTCCTAAAAAACCCAACTATATTTCATTTTTAAGTTGACTTCTTTATCTTTATACAGGGGCCAATATTTTCACTCAATTCAGAGGCATGAAAATGAAAATTTCCAAAATGTGTTGGCTTTCATAGTAGTAATAATAAAATTTGGAATCTGAGTCTCCCAATTCTAAAACAAGAATGCTTTCTACTCTCAAACCATGTAGAAGATGGTTAAGTTCCCCACTGACCAACGCTGTCCAATTCTCTTAAATGATTCAGATGTAAAAGAGAAAATGGCATCTGTCTAATTAACACCGCCTGGTTAAATATAGCTGCCGAGGGACAGTGTTTCCAGAACAGTCCTTCCAGTCCCTCAGGCCCCAAGGCAGCGACGATAGCAAGCCTTCTGTCCTTATCAACCGGAAACAGAGATGCCCCAGAAATGATCATAGGCCAGGACAGCAAGTGGGGATGAAAGGAGAGGGCGAAGGCGGTCACTGGCCTTCATTTCGTGCTCCTGGCATCTGGGGATGCAGAGAACGATGCTGGAAAGCGGATCCTAGGGGCTCAGGCAGCTCTTTCTGAAAACAAAAACCCTTCCTGTGCGCCTGCACCTCCCTCTCCAGCCTGGAGACATTGGACCCTCAACTGCCAACCGCTAGAACTGCCCTTCTCCTGGCAGAAAACACAATGACACATTATTTCCCTTCCAGCTTCACGTTACAACATGGAAGCCATTGCCAAGTTTGATTTCATGGCCTCGGGAGAAGATGAACTGAGCTTTCACGCTGGCGATGTTCTGAAGGTAGGTGATGAGGGGCCCAGGAGAACTGGGGAGAGTTTAGTTTATTCTGGTCTAATTGCTGAGTTAATCTAACAGTTGAATTGCTTAAACTGTTTCTCAAGAAACACAGTTCTTTCAAAATCTGAAATTCACCTCAACCAAAAAGGTTTCTTCTGAGCACCCGTGCACTAACCACCAGGCGGGGTGATGGAAATCCCGTTGGTATCAGCCACCATCCCTGTCCTGAGATGCTCGTGGTCTGGAGGGGTAAACACATCCGTGTGCAGGGCTTCTCATAGATGTTTTTATCTAAGTGCTCAGGAGCACAGGTAGGGGACAAGTGATCCCACCTTGAAAGATGGGGTTGTAGGAAGGGGTGGCAACATCAGTTGTCAGGGAAAGCAGTAAAGGTGAGTCAGGTTTTTGGCTAAAGCTCAGAGATGGTCAAGCTCAGGCAGAGTCTGGTCAGCATTACAAGGCTCGGCATGGCTGGAACTTACAGGAGAAAGGTGTGGGTGGGGACACCTGGAAAGGCTGCTGGAGGAAACTCAGGTCAGTGAAGGCCACTCACACCTGGCCACTCTGGGGCTTCTCAAAGCTTGTCTTCCACCCACACTTGACTTGTAGTGGCAGTTTGCTGAGCTGAAGAGGCCTTGGACTTCTTCCACATTCCATGAGCCACACTTACATGGACTCTGCATCTCAGAGTGCCAAATAGCACAAGCCCTTAAAGCAGTCCCTGGGGAGTCTGCGGCACCCATGCCCCCCTGGCCTCTGAGCACCTCGGATAGCCTGATCCCCAGTCCCCAGCAGTCCATATGGCCACCATAGTCTCTCCATTAAGATAAAAGCTTACTATGGAAATAACCTTGTCACACGTGATCAGGGGAATCGGAAAGTGTCTGTGGCACACAAGCCAGGTAGAATTTGAACAACCCCCTCCCCGCCCTCTTCCCAGGTGGTACTAGTGGTAAAGAACCCGCCTGCCAATGCAGGAGACTCAAGAGATGCAGGTTCGATCCCTGGGTCAGGAAGATTTCCTGGAGGAGGGCGTGGCAACCCACTCCAGTATTCTTGCCTGGAGAATCCCATGGACAGAGGAGCCTGGCGGGCTACAGTCGATGGGGTCGCCAAGTGTTGGACACGACTAAAGCGACTTAGCGTGCACACATCTCTCACTCTGAGCGTTTATCCTTCTAACTGCCCTCACTGTGCGAGATCTGGCAATGCGGCTGCCAAGAGCACGCCTTCAATGCTGGAGCTTCTCAAGGTCAAAACACTGCTTGGGCTGCTGACCCAGGAAAAAGCGACCTTCACTTCTTTGGGACCTTACCAAGATCACTGAGGGGTCTGGGACAAGGTGAGAAGTCCCTCCCTTCCCTGTCAGGTAGTGTGACCATTTGGTTATCAACCACTCTGCAGTGTTCTGACCCAAAAGAGGCCCTGGGAGGTGGGTGTGGGGCAAGTCCCATCCCTCACCTCCCATTGCAAACCAAACCATCCGGCTTAAGTTTTCCCTATTCTCCAGAAAAGGAAAAACAAAAAGCAAAAATCTTTCCTCAATTCTGCTTCAGCTCCTAATTTCTTTCCTCTCCTTCATGGCCACACTGGGAAGAATTCTCTGTGCTGGCTGTCTCCACTTCCTCACTTCCCATTCACTCCACTAGACCCTCTGGAATCTGACTCTTACCACCATCACTCCCTTAAAGTCCACCAGTGACCTCCTGAGTGTAGAATGTAAGGACCCCGCCAAACACCTATAGGACTTGACACTGCTAACTGTCCCTCCTTGCATCTGAAAGGAGACCTATTTCACCTCAAAACACTGTACTCCACTCTGAGTATTTTCCTTTTATCCTGTCTCCCAAGCAACCCACTTCTTCACCGGAGAGGAGTCTGGTACCAGTCAAAAGGAAACTGGATGACCCATAAATGATCCCCATATTGTCAATATCACCCATTCTCCCTCTGACTGTTCAGACTATTGCCACATCCCTTGAATAAACTCATTGTCTCCTCTCTCTTCCTCCTTCATTCTAAAAACTAGTCCCAGAGGGATCTTTCTAGAAGATAAATTGGATCATATTACTTCCTCCCTCAGAAGTGTTCAGTGGTTCCCCGTGACCAGTGGATGGAAATCTAAGCCGTCAGAGCTCAACCCACCACCCAACCTCATCATGCGCGAGTGCAAGAACATGTATACACACACACACACACACACACACAAGCACATACTCATCTTTGTGCATGAAATGGCCCAAATCACACTGGAATATGTACACTGTCCTTTTTCAGGCTCTCCCTGTAGTCTGAATGTCCTTCTTCTGCCCTCATGTGTGTGACCACCTCTGCCAGGGAACCCTCATGAATCCTCCCCACCCCCTCTACCCCAGTAAACTCATCACCCCCTCTTCAGCTCCTCCATGGCATTTCACACACTCTGTTCAAGGCACTCACACCCTATTTACAAGCAGGCGAGCTTCCGCTCTCTGCACCCGAGCACCACCTCTGCTGCTCTCCCCCATGCCATCCTGATTGTCCGGTCACATAGTGGCTGCTTCACTCCCCAGAGCTCTGCAGGGGTGGGGGCTGGGCCTGCAGAAAGGTGAGGAAGTGTCAACGAATGAATGAATGAGCAGATCATCCCACTGCTGGTCTGAGAACAGAGTCTTGCCGGGTTCATCTTTGTGTCTTCCCAGCACCTAACACAAGTCATGGCCCCAGATGGGCTCTCAGTACATATTTCTTGAGTTGTTAAACTGCGTTTCTGCACACTCATTTAAAATTCCCTCAGAAAGCCAAACCCTTCCTTCCTTTCAAATTCTATCCATTGCAGCCATAGTGGTAAAGAGGAAAAGGGATGGGTCTTGTTGGCTGAGTCTCATGGAAGGTCTGAATCATGGTGGTCAGTGGGCCCGCCTGTGGGTCTCCACGTACAACTGTCTCCTCCAGATATGGGTAGCAAGCCCCAGGAGCCTGGAAATTGGTGTTCTGTTTCTTGGGGTTTTTTTAGAAATTGTTTTCAAGGCCAGTTCTTGACTATCCCAGCAACGCACTCCTGAGTGCTCTTTCATGTTATGCCTTTAGTTCTAAAACACTAAACAGACTTTTTCATTAGAAGATACAAAAACTGTCTGATTTGCTCATCACCAGCTGCCCCCTGCAGACTGTGAGCTCCCCAGGGTGTAGGCCCCAGCTTATTCATCTCTGTATTCCCAGCACCCGAGTACAAACAGCAGTTGCTCACTAGATGCTGATCCCAGAATGGTGAACAAGATGGCAGACATGGAACTCTAGCCAAATGACTGGATCCCATTTCTCCTGTGAGAGAAACATTCCAAAAGTCAGGAGCTGAATGCTTCATGTGCGTATCATGACCTCTCAACCTGCAGCTGCACATAGCACCCAGCTTACGTTTCCCACTCGAATCTGCCAGTCGTTATTAAAAAATGTCTCTTGACCCAGGCCATCTCTATGTGCTTCTGCAATTCATCTAACACAACCCCATTTCTTCCCACTAAAACAGAGACCAAAGAGCCCCCAGAGTTAGTCCTACGTAATTAACTTCTTCAACACTTCTGATTTCTGCTATGCCTCTAAGAGCTATAATTTCATCCAATTTTGAAATTCTTCCAACCGTACATTTTGTCCTCTTCCCACATCTAACTTATTCTCAGGCCATGTAACCCAGAAAATGATTCCGGCAGGCAACACCGTAAGAGTTAAGTTACAGCGAAGTTGAGGGTAAAACCTCACGGGTTTAGGCTGAACTCCTTGCGCAGGTTTGCACGATGGGGACAAGAGATAGAGAAACGGAGGAGATGGAGAGATGAGAGGGACAGGAAGTACCAGCCCTGCCAACAACGGCGGGAGGAAACCACCACCACCACCCCCCAAAGACTCTTCTTTGCCGAAAGTGAGTTTTTTTTAAACCCTTGCCTTTTACACCTCATAAAAAGCCTATAAATTCGCCTCTTTGGGAACACTATGTCAGGCAGACCGAGCACCAGGTGGTGAGGAAAATGGACGGCATTTCGGGATAATCTTTCGGTGGCTAGAGGGTGTAAATGAGTGTGAGCCACGATTACTAAAATTACAGCCAGTTTTGGGTCAGAGAGCTAAGTGCAAAATGTAGTTCCTACTGCGATGAGCCCATTTCCAAATGGCCTCTTTTACTTCATCCCTGCTCACCTTGGTATTTGACATTTGCTGCCCAGGCCACACGTCTTCCCATGTGTGATGGGAGAAAGGAATTCCAGAGCCTTGAAATCTGGGGGAGCACAGAGTAAAATGCCCTTATGTTTCTTATGTGATGATGATGCCCTGGTGCCAAGTTTCCTAGTTCTTCTTTTGACCTAGATTTCCTGCTCCCCTACCCCTGCCACCCCGCTCAGCACACACATACCCGCATGTCCTTAGTGATACCAACAGTCACATCTGATATTAGAAACTATGAAGTTTCCTTTTCTCAGCAATTCTAGAACTCAAATATGGGACACACTTTTACTTCTTCAGAACAAATGATCACATTCAAAACATACACATAGAACACTTTAAAGAACTTATCAACCCTCCATCAGACCTGGAGTTTTCCCTCATAAGAATATTACATTTGACAGAATTATATTTAAAAACACAGCCTGTACTCTCTGGAGGATGTCCAGGGACGAGGGCGCATTTGATCCCTGCATCAGCTCCGTGAACGGGCTGCCAGTTTTTATTGCCCCCATTTTGCAGATGATAATTGACTCACCTGAGGTCAAACATCTAGGGGACAAAGGACCCAAGGACCAAGGGCTTCTCCTTCCAAACTCAGGAGTGATATTAGAACTAGGTCATCACTACTTCTCAATTACATTGCTCTCTTCAATTCTCTTCCCATCTCTGGGAGGCAGAAACCAGAGGCTTCAAGTCCACCCACTTTTTGGATGACTCTGAAATCCAGCTCTAGCCCCCACCTCACTGCTGAGCCCAGACACACATCTCCAATGCTCCCTGAGCTATCCTTCTCTGAGGGTCCTGGGGGCAACTTGATTCACCCACAGGCGGTCTGAGGTCCATGAGCTTTCCCTCAGACCTGTTCCTCCTCCTGTCTTTTCTATTTTGGTAAAAGTATCACCACCCACTCAATCTCCCAAGCCAGAAATCCAGAGCCATCCCAGAATCCCCTTCTCCCTCAGCTCCTCGAACAGTCACAAAAACCTACCCATTTGTGCTTCCTGATTCCTCTGAAATCTGTCCTCACTTCTACCTAGCCCAGATCCCCTTCATCTATGCCTGGATGGCTACGCTCCTCTTCCTACACTCTCTCCCCTGACTTCACCCCCCAAGTCCATCTTCAAGTTGTGATACCGCACGCCTTTCTTAGCACTGACTCTCACTGCGCTGTTTCCCTGATGAAAATCCTTTGATGGCTCCCCATACCTTTCAAGATAGAAACTCAGACTTTTGAACGTGGGATACAAGGCCCTGTAACCCTGGTTTCCCCTCTCTGTACTCCTGGGGTCACAATCTAAACTCCCGCCAGATTGAGGAGTTCTGTCCCAAGAACGCACCTCACTTCCTCATGCCCCGGAAGTAGTTATTTTGCCATCAGACTTTGCCTAGGTAACTCCTTTCAATACCTGGGCAACCCAAGCAGTCCCTGCTCCGAGTAAGCTTTCCTATCCATCTTCTGCTTTCCTCTTTATCGTTTCTCTTCCATCAGTTAAGACGTTTTCAGCTATGAGAAACAGAAACTTAAAATGGCCTAAACAATAACAAAGATTTATAATTTCTCATACAAAGTCCAGGCATTAGAGGGCTCCTAAGTGGCTAATTCGGTAGCTCCATGACACCAAGATTCTTCCCATCTTTTTGTTCTGCCATCTTCATTTTGAATTATTGTTTGAGTCTGCACTACATATTTTAGAAATATTCTCAGTAGGGGTGGGTGGAGAGGAAGTCAAGTATTTGTCTTTTGATGATAGGAGATTTTCTGAAATGACCAGAAGCCACATAGAGCCAAGTCTGGAGAGTCATATAAGTAATCAAGGCAGATGATAACATTTGGGGTCATGGTCAAGGTAAGATCTTACAGTAATGAGAGAAAACTTCTGGTTTTGCCTATGATCGCAGTCTAAAAGCAAATTTAGAAAAGGTATTCCGGGAATCTTGAGTTATGTCCAAACTGTGCAAACATGGAATATGAACACAAAGAGTTACTGTTTTCAAAGCTAGCCCCCACTTGATATTTAAGTTTTAATCCGCTAGCTAGCGTAAAAAAGTAAGAACAAATTAAAATTGTAAAAGGTTCTCGGTTACCTGGCAGAGAAGGAGAAACCACCTGCCTAGATAAGGAGCTTAAAGTGCTAAGATCTGAGACACAAATCTTCAAAACAGGAGAAGAGGGGTTCAGAGAAACCTCTGAGCACCAAGTCTGGGAGGCCCCACCAGTGTGGAGTCACATGAGCGGGTGGCCCAAGTGTACAAAAATAGCTTGGGGACAAGAGAAGCCAAACTCCAAAGATAAGCCTGCTGCTCCCCACTCCAGTGGTTCTGTGGTTTCTTTGGCGCGTGTGTGTGTGTGTGTGTGTGTGTGTGCATGCACTTAGTCGTTCAGTCATGTTTGACTCTTTGTGACCCTGTGAACTGTAGCCTGCCAGGCTTCTCTGTCTGTGGGATTCTCCAGGCAAGAATACTGGAGTGGGTTGCCGTTTCCTCCTCCAGGGAATCTTCCCAACCCAGGGATCAGGCTCTTGTCTCTTACGTCTCCTGCACTGGCAGGCAGATTCTTTACTACTGCACCACCTGGGAAGCCCTCTTTTGCTTATTTTCCTTTAACTTCAAAAGCCTTTGTTCTTTTGGGTTGGGTGGAGTTTGGATTGAGGTGCTTAAGTTCTTTGCCCTGCAGCCCATTTCTCCTGCTTCCCCGCGTCCTCTCCTCAGTGTCTCGTCGTCCTTCCTTCTCCTCCCTGTAGATCCTAAGTAACCAAGAGGAGTGGTTCAAGGCGGAGCTTGGGAGCCAAGAAGGCTACGTGCCCAAGAATTTTATAGACATCGAGTTTCCCGAGTGAGTATTTCCAGCCTGCGGAGACAGGCCTGCCCACACACACTCCCCTTACTTTTTCAGTAGCCACTAAAATTATCCGTGCACAGCCCAGACGCTGGCAAAAACGGTCGCCTCTGGAGAGGGAACCACGCAGCTGAAGGCCAGGGGTGGGAGGGAGATTTGCATTTCACGGCATTCTCTTTTGAATTTGATACCATGTGCAAGTATCACCTATTTTAAATTTATAAGCCAAAGCCATCTGATTGTAACCATGGCGTTTCCAAGAATTCCAGTGGGAGCGCTGTCAGCCACCCCACCTCCACAGCTGCTGCTTCAAGGGCTCTTCTCCCCTATCTCCCAAGCCACCTTCCATCCCAGTTCCAGGATGACATGACGGAGCTCTCGGAACCGTGAGCTTCCCGAAACCGTGCTCACGCTCAGTGAGAGAGGTCGGGGAAATTCCCTCCATAAAGAGGAAACGAAAAGTTGAGATTGGGTCACGTGCGTCTCAAGAATTGACCACAAGGGTTAGATAGAAATCTAATCTTGTCTGAGAGTCAGGGTCTAGCCTAAGAGCAAAGGTTTGTTAGAAAACCAAAGCGGTGTTGGTGACTCTGGTGAGGTGCAATGGTACCACTCACCGGGAATCAGCACTGACCACTGAGCCAGCAGAACGACCACTGACCTCAGCCAGGGGGCCCTTGAGGCTGCCCTGTCACCTTCTGGGTGAGCACGGCACCCCCTGCAGCTCCTCCACCCACCCCCCGCCTCACACACACACTCTCAGCCGACCGCCTGGCTTCCAGGACAGCGGAGGCCCCCAGAAAAGCCCATCTACGCCACCCGTCCTGACTCACTGCCTCCACCCACATCCCGCAACTGCTCAGACACTGCCTTTCCTGCAGTTATTTGGAAAGAACCGTCTGTGCTTCGAGCAGAAGTCCTCCCCTCTCTCCCACATCAGCTTTCCTCCTTCTCTGCTGGCTCAAACCCGGTGGCAAACTAAGATCCTGCGATTCCTCCCGGCTCACCAAAAAAACCCACAAAACATGAAACCAGACAACAAAACCCTTGATCCCAAATCCCCTTCCCACTACGACTCCACTTCTTCAAACAATCGTTCTATTCGCTGTCTCTAATTCCTCTCCTCCTATTCTCCCTGGAAGCCCCATGACTCCTTGGAAACCTTTTTATCAAGGTCCCAGGGAACTGTGGGTCCCAGTGGTGGATTGTCAGCCATCATCTAGCACCGTTTGATGTAAGGAACCTTTCTCTCCCATGGGAACACTTTCTTCACTGGGCTTCCGGGACATCCTTCCTCCCGGTTCTCCTCCTTCCTCCCTAGCTTCTCCTTCCCTGTCTCCTTTGCTGTTTCCTCCCCACCTCCCCCATCTCCTTTAGAGTTAGAATGCCCCCTCCCAGTGAGGCCCTCCCCACCACCACATTTTAAAGGACCCCCCCCACCTCTGCTCTCTGTTCATATTCCCCAGAGCACTTACATCGGCTGACACACTCCACTCCATATTCTAATTACTTCATTGTTTATGATATTTCTGCCCCTACCCCACTAGAATGTGAGTTCTATGAGGGTTCTTGTCTGTTCTGCTCACCACTGCATTCAGTACATCCTCAGAAGAGGGCCCAGCACACAGTACAAGTTTAATAAAAGCTGTTCAGTGACTGAATAGCTTTGGAACCGACATGTAATATGAAACTCTGGCACTCATTTCACAAGTAGCCTGTGGACATTTTTGTAAGTCTTGAAAGAAGTCACTTAACAAAACCCAGATAGAGGACAAGTGTGTATTTTCCAAACAGTCCCCTCTCTGGTTGCTCCCTCTTTCAAGAGATTTCCTCTGAGGATGGCTGCTGAGGAGGGGGGGTCCCATTCTTTCCCCCTCCCCATTGTATTGCCTGTGGTGGCCACTCATCAGTCCTGTAGCTTTGTATGGCAGGAACTCCAGGCAGATGAGGGTCAGAAAACCTCTGCTTCTGGCCCCTCAGAGCCTGACCAACCTGCCGCTGCAGTCCCAGGTCTGGAAAGAGGATAATCCTCCCACCACCTCTGTCTGTTCAGCTCCTAAGTTCCAAAGGGCACAAGGGAACTGCTCACAGGGGCCTGTCGGATGCTCACCTTAAAGGAACACACAGGCTCGCCTTGCGGGGGCAGCAGTCAGGCAGCCATGTTTCAGCAGAGGGGCACCGCCCGCCCGCCTTGGCCGCTGAGGAGCCGCGAACACTCGTTCTGCTCCACGAGGGTGAGAGAGGTTCCTGGCCTCCTGCCCTGAGGCTGGAGCCACTGCTTGTCTGGCCTGCGTGCAAGGGCTCAGCCTTTTTCACATTCGCTGTACCGCCTGCAGCAACACTTCCAAAGGCTGCCACCCTGACTGCTCTGAGAAAGAGCAGTTTCTCCTCGGTGCCTTCTTTTCCACAGTAAGGGTTATTTTCCAGCCTGGTTTCTCAGGGAGGGCCAGGGAGCTGGCTGTTTAGACGCCACTCTCTGGCTGCGCCAGCCTCGCTCACTTCCAAGGGTGCGTGGGGACCTCCCTGGGTGCCCCACTGTGTCTGCCGGGCACAAGTCACAACCACTCCCGCCCCATGCCACCCAGAGGCCCTCGGTTGTGACCCGTCTTCCCGGCCACTGGGGTCTCAGCCTGAAGCCAGCACCCAAGGGCCCTGCCCGTCCCAGTGCCCAAAGGGGTCCCTGTCCTCCTGGAGCACCATCTGACCCTGCAGTCCCTTTCTGGACACGTCCCTCTCACAGCCACCGGCAGGGGGCCGCCCCTGCAGTGAGTCCCTCCCACATCATCCCGTTTTGTGCAGTGGCACATTTCCATGACTCAGGATTTCCAAGCAGGCAGGAGAGAGACTTCTCCTGAGGGGACAGGGCAGGAGGTACCTCAAGGGGACACTCACTTGCCTCACCTGGAAACTGCTAGAGCATTTGTTTGGTTTCAAAAGCACCTGGCCCGTCTTGGGGTCTCTCCTCAGCCCTTCTCCCTCTGGGTCATCTCTCCCCGACTTCCTTCCCTCCCTACCCCCAAACCCCATCAGTCTAGCATCTCACCAAGATCCTCTGTTTTTGTCTCACCTGATAGGTGGTTTCACGAAGGCCTCTCACGACACCAGGCAGAGAGCTTGCTGATGAGCAAGGAGCTTGGTTGCTTCATCATCCGGGCCAGCCAGAGCTCCCCCGGGGACTTCTCCATATCCGTCAGGTACTGGCCAATCCTGACTCCGCCCTGACCTACTAAAGCACTAAAACAACAAGGTGACCTCTTAAACATGACCTACTCCTCAGGAGCACGGTGGCAAGGGGCCTGGGTATAATGTATCAATACATTCACCTGCCTCCCCCTCCAGCCCAGGTGCTTCTAGAAAGACAGGATTTTTATCAGCCTCACCTCTGTGCATTTTACAGCACCATGTAAACCCAACAGGTGCTGGGTAAGTGTCTGTGGAAGGGGAATGGGAAGGGAGAAGGAACAGAGAATTTCCAGAGGTCCACATCCATCTTGGAGTTGCAATCTTTTTTAAAAAATTAATTATTTTTGTTCGTGCCAGGTCTTTGTTGCTGCACGCTGGCTTTCTCTAGCTACAGTGAGCAGGGGCTACTCTTCTTTGCAGGGCATTGCAGGGGCTTCTCTTGTGGAACACAAGCTGTAGGTGCTTGAGCTCAGTAGCTGTGGCTCACGGGCTTTGTTGCTCTGTAGCATGTGGAGTCTTCCCAGACAAGGGATCAAACTCATGTGCCCTGCGTTAGCAGGTGGATTCTTATCCACTCTACCACCAGGGAAGTCCAGGGTTGCAATCTTAGCATTTTCTTTTACTACCAGTGCATGTCTGAAGAAGGACAGAGAAAGATCAAAACCCCCAGTCACCGCCATAGGACACATCCGTAGTCGTAGGTGGCTGCACAGAAAGAAAGGCTACCTCCACTCTCTGTAATGCTGTGAAATTGACAGGGACAGAGCAGAGCCCAGGAGGCCTGCGGTGGGGGCACTCTGACAGCAAAGTCTCGCCAATGTGCGGCACCCCACCCCTCGGGAGGAAGTGACTCAGTTTAACATGACATAGCCCCACACGTAGAAGCCCCAAGTCTGAACACATGGTGTGTGGTCAGCGTGCTGGGGATGGCGAGTCACACATCAGACTTGGTGACCACATGTGAAAGTGCAAGGATGCCAATAGCAGCACAGGGAGCGGTGCGACAACCTGTACGGTGAAACCTCACTGGCAAGTTACCTGACCGGAGGTTCTGTCTGGATTCTGCAGTGTAATTTGAAAGGCATGCAGCTTTAAGTTCCTAAGTCCAGTCTCGGGTAATAAACAGAGGCCACATTACTATTTAGAAAGAAAGTGCAGTACTTTAAGGAATAAGTAGGAAAGACTTAAAAAGAATGGGTTAAGGGGACTTCCCTAGTGGTCTAGGGGCTAAGGCTCCATGCCACCAAGGCAGAGGGCTCAGGTTCATTCCCTGGTCAGGGAACTAGAGCCCACATACCACAACTAAGACCTGGTGCAACCAAGGAAATAAATCAATAAATTAAAAATAATAATAATAATGGGTCAAGTATTTGTATCCATTTGTGTCCCCAGCAGACTCAAGAATACCTTGATCTCTTAAGCATTGCCCTTGAAATCAAACTCTTAATTTCCCTTAACTGAAGCTTTCTTTTTTATAGCTGGGATGATGGTAAATTTTAGCTCAGGTCAATATTAATGTATCACCAATTATAAACTTGTTAGGTCTTAATTCATGAACTTTTTCTCTATTAATAAATCTTACAACTCAAACCTGTTTCTTTAGGGCCACAATTAGAGGCAACACCAAGCAACTTGTTAGATTGAAAGGCATCTCTTGGTGCCTTTGGTTTGCATGTTGAGGCTGGCTTTTTCAGTGAGGAATTAGGGTTTATCATTCCTTGATCAGATTGAATTCTACAAAAAACGACCAGCTTTGATGTCTGCCATGATCTTCCCTGCCATTGAGGCTATGCAGGCTCTTGTGATGGTGATTATTACTGTAATCAGTTTTACCTCTTCTGCAGAAATGTAGTCTAATATATTCCAAAGCAAAATCACTAATTTATTTATACATCTGCTTTCTGTCCTGGCACAGATAATTAAGAGCTAATGGTAATAATCTATCACTTAGGATTAGTTGAGGGTCTGAAACACTAGACTCAGGCTCTGGAGCCCTGAGTTACAGCCTTTTCTCAGCCCTTCTCAGACCTCAAGACAGTGGTCCAGCCCCTCTCTCTCCATTGGCCAGATGACCAACCACAGTCCTGACATGCACACTGTCAGTATATGGGAGTGAAAGAGTTAATATTTCTCATTCCCAGTTCTTTGACTAAGAGATGGTGGATGAATAATTGTGTCACAAGAATATTCCCTCCTCCTCAGCCAGATGTGGGGAGTGATGACTGTGAGCCGATCCATGTGGTGCTGGAGTGAAGAAAGCATATATGAGTGACCGAAGCCAAAAGGGGAAGGGCAAGCAATGATTGATTGCCAAGTGTCGGCTATGACCCCCAAGGTAGTTAAGCAGAGGTCACTGAATAGGTTTGCCTGTCTCTGAGCAGAGCCCCGAAAATAAGATGAGGAGGAAGATCAAAACACCTGTCCCCTCTGAACACAGACCTCTAAATCCATCCCTTAGAAAGAGTTATCTTTACTCTCCAACAGTCTAAATTTTTTACCTTTCTGCTGGGTCACGCAATTGATATCAATAACATCAGTTTATTTTTAGACATAAATGTGTGTCCATTTGACCAAAAAAACTTGACATTCAAACAAGAATGACTTGGTGATGGAAAATGGCTGGGGCTGTTAGTAAAGGTCCAGTCTCCTCTTTCAGTGAATAAAATCCAAATTCTCCACCCCAGGTACAAACATGCTCCATCACTTCTGAGTTCAGCTGGTGTCAAAAGTGCAGATCGAAAAGAAGTTAACATGAGCGAAAAAAAAAAAAAAAATGTGTGCTTGGTGTGATACCAGCTCATTAGACTGGAATTAGAGAACCAGGGTCCTTGCCTCAACTCTGCTCTTAACAGTGACTTTAACCAAGCCCCTCCACCTCTCTGAGCCTCAGCACATATTTTTCCCCAGCAACTCAAAATACTTTGTAACCTTATTTATGCAAAACAATACCAACCAAGAGATCCCGGCTATGTAGAGAACAAAGCGTGACAGATTTCTCAGGGTAGTTTTTGAACTTAAAGGAGCTGGGTTCAGACTATTTCTGTTAACAGAAAGACAACAAGGGCTTGAAAAACTCCTCCCCTCTGAGTCTTGGCAGAGTTCTTAGCCTGGTAAGGTCTCAGGCATTGCCATGCTTCAAATAAACATTGTAAAAAAAAAGTCCTCAACCTTGTATTCTTTAAAGCCCTTGGAATATTTTTTTCTTGTAAAAGGACAATTCCAGTATCAGAAGAAAGATTGCTTTCTGCTCATGTTAAAAAAAAAAAAAAAGCAAACCTCCTTTCAGGAGTTCCCTGGTGGTCCATTGGTTAGTACTTGGTGTTTTCACTGCAGTGGACTCAGGTTCAATCGCTAGTAGAAGAACAAAGATCCCGCAAGCCTCATGGCCACACACACACCCAAAAAAATCCCCTCTATCTCAGTTGAGTCCTGAGTGGCCTCTCCCGGAAATCTCCCCTAGATTGACTAGGCCAGCCCACCTGCCCAGGGATGGGCCAGCCAACCATACCTCCGCTTCCTGCCCAAAGAAAACTCCAGCATCCCTGGAATGCAGTCGGCCCTGGAGGCAGAGACATGCTCACCACATGATACATAATTTGGATTTGTCTTGCTCTTTAGGCATGAGGATGATGTTCAACACTTCAAAGTCATGAGAGACAACAAGGGTAATTACTTCCTGTGGACAGAGAAGTTTCCATCCCTCAACAAGCTGGTGGACTACTACAGGAAGAATTCCATCTCCAAACAGAAGCAGATATTTCTGAGGGATAGGACCCGGGAGGAACAGGTATGCTGCTGGCCCCCATCACCCCCAATCCAGAGATTCTGGGCAATTTGGGTCCCTACATGAACCCCTAAAACCATGCGTTTGATGGGCAGGTCCCTGCATATTCTGAAAAGTTTAAATCATAGCTTAATACTTCCTAGGTATGTGACTTTGAAAAGTTCTCTAATTCTCAGTTTTTTCATCCATAAATTTGGGATGATAGTGACAGCTACATCACAGGATGGTTCTGAAGGTTAGAGAATGATGTAGTCCATCCCTTACGTCATTCCTAATCACACCCCAAGCACCCAGTATACATGGGCTCTTATTATGGACACTGTTGTTTCATTATTCACAGGCGTTACCGTATCACAGTTTTCAGCCTAGCTCAGGAGCTACCCAAGGATGAAGTAACTTGGGAGAAGCGGTGGGGCTACACATGGGGATATTAGAACCTCAAGTCCAGGACTAATGCAGCAAGTAGACCTTTATGACAGGATTTGGGGGTGGGGAGGGTAGAAGCAGGGGGCATTGGAGGAGAAAACTGGAAGTGGAATTCTTGCTCTTGGAACAGTTTGGAACATGAAGTATTGTCTTAATAGAAAATACTTCCAGGGACTTCCCTGGCAGTCCAGTGGTTAAGAATTCACCTTCCAATGCAGGAGGTGTGGGTTCTATCCCTGGTCCAGGAGCTAAAATCTCATGTGCATTGGGGGTCAAAAAAATCAAAACATAAAACAGAAGCAATGTTGCAATAAATTCAACAAAGACGTTAAAAATGGTCCTGCACCAAAAAATCTTTTTAAAAATGCATCTCCAATGGACCTGGCTTTAAAAACTGATATCATTGCTAACTATCCTGATTACCCAGTCAAGTGAAGAAAACTTTCTGAGCATCAGTTTTTCTCATCTGTAGAATGGAGAGAATATAATGCCTTCTTCATTGGACTATGGTGAGGATAAGTGAGATATAATCATATCACTCACCACAGAGTCTGGTCCCCAGATGGCACTAAGGAAATGTTAATTTGATTCCAAAAGTAAATTCACACACACATAATCTATAAAATATGTTTCAAAGGAAATATCATGGTTATAGGAGATGGATATTATAGGAACCAGCGCTGAGTGGAAGAGTTGAAATCCCACTGACAGGCTATCTGAAAAGGCACTGAGACTTTTCAAAGCAATGTGTTCTTTAGAGAAGTAAAGAAAACCATCCCTTTCAAGTAATAGGTTGATTTTAAGCCTGAGAAGTTACAATCAAAGGAGAAAAGGGTGTTCCCAAATGCACACAAAAGTTCAGAAAGGAAAACAAAGGTTAATGTGGACCTTATGAATTCTTTCAACCAGGAAATGGACAGAGATACTCATTTACTAAGATGTGCACACAGAGATGAGAGAGGAAACATAAAACTGCACTAAACTGAATTTAATGAGTTCATTTTGCCAAGTGCTTAGAACAGTGCCTGGCATATGCTAAGCCCAGGGCTCTGTGTAATTGTTTGTTAAATAAAAATAACAAGAAAGTGTCTCTGAGTCATGAGGTTGTGGTAGCATTCAGGAGAAAGGTCTTGTTTTTTCCCCACATGCCCAGCAGCAGGCCTGGTTTCCATGGTGCTGCGAGAGCGTTGCTGTTTGGGTCTCTATCACCAGGCTATAAATGACAGTTCAAAATCATGCAAAGTCAATAGCAGAGCTTATCTGGAGGATAGGATGTCCAGCAGTGTGGCAACATGCGATAAGGAGGGGTGGCATTGTGTCAGTAAAATGGAATATTTAAGCTTGATTACACAGAGAAAAACAAGCCCCCGAGGAAGGGACGGGATGGGTACCAGGTGGAAAGTGTATGAACCAGAGACTCAAGCTCCCCAAACCGGGAGGATCTGCGAATGCACAGGCCTCTGTGAAAATGTGATGATCTGAACCATTGATTTTCTTTAAGCTGCTCCCACCCCCATCAGCTGTTTCTTGAGCTGTCAGAAGCTAAGTCTGGGGACAGCTGCTGGAAGGGCTGGGTCAGGCCAGGAGAGGCGGGAGGAGGATGGATCTGTGTCATCTCTGTACTCTCCCAGGGTCAGCGGGGCAACAGCCTGGACCGGCGGTCCCAGGGAGGCCATCCCCTGAGCGGGGCTGTGGGAGAAGAAATCCGGCCTTCAATGAACAGGAAGACATCGGATCACCCCCTGCCCCCTCCTTCGCAGTATCCCCCGGCCCCACTGCCGCCACAGCAGCGGTACCTGCCACAGCATCATTTTAATCAGGTACCTGGGAAGGATGAAGTGGGCAGGGAGTGGAGGAGGACCTGCTTTCCCCCCACGCTTCAGCAACCTTGTCCCCACTGCCACGCAGTGTGTGAAAAACCCCACAGTGCCGAAAACAACAGAAACAAATACATGTTGGGGGCCAGTTGTGGCCCCAGGACTGTCTGTCAGGGGAGGAATGTCCCGGTCCAAGCCTGGTCCCATCTGGTCTCACTGAGCTCAGAGAAAAGATTCTGGGTCCTCAGAGGGCAGAAACACGGAAACTGCATTTGGCAAAGACGTCAAATGAGTCCCTGCTTAAACACATATACACACACACATACACAAACACACATATACACACATGCACACATTCACACACATATACACATGCACATACACTCATACACATATTTACACACATACATATACACATATACATACATACGCACACATCCATACACACATGCACACACACATACATACGAACACACATATACACATGCACACATGCACACACACATGTACATGCATATAAAAATACATATACCCATGCACACATCCATATACACACACGAACACACATGCACATGCATGTGCATATACACACACGTGTGTATACATATAAACATACACATGCACACACATATGCACACATCCATGCACACATACAAACACACACGCATATACACATACACACATACACCTACACTCAAACACACATACATACACACACACACTCACCCTGAGGACTCCGTGAACAATGACTTCATTTTTCCTATCAGCACAATTCCAGAACTTTTTGTGCCCCTTGACCCATCTGGCTGTCAAGATCTACAGGAAAAACAGATTAAGGTCAGAAATGGAGCCTTGCTTATTTATTTGTTTATCCCCCACCTTGTTCCAGATGGGATTTTAGGTGGCTCACTGAGATGGACAATACAGCCAGATAACAACATCCCTAAATTCCTTAGCAGGGCACGCAAAGTCCTTCGTAAGCTGCCCAGATCTGCCTCTCCAGCCTCATCCCCTGCCCCCTCCCCATGCAAACATACATCCCTGCATTGTTGTACTTCCTTTAGTTATCAGAACGATTCACTGCATTTTCTCTCATGCTTTTGAGTCTTTTTATTTGCTGTCCCTTCTGCCTGAAATGCCGTTTCCTAGTCAATTCTACTCTTTCAACTGGAGTTCAAGCATCACCTGCTGTAAGAAGCCTTCCCTGATCACCCAGGTCAACTCAGACACTTGTCTCCACTCACTCATCACGTAAATGCATATGGTTCCCCCTCTGAACTGATGTTCTCTGAGGACAGGGGCCTTCTCTTTCCAGATACACATCCCCATGCTTAAGACAGTACTAGACATATGGTAGGTGCCTGATAAATATTCCTTGGTTGAATGAGTAAAATTTGGCATCATCTTCACAACCTAAGGTCTGTTTGTCACCCTATAACCCCTCTCCTTTATCTGGGGTTTATTGTCCTCTGCAGTAAGTTTTCTTGGAGCTGTGGCTGCGTCCATGGCACTGGAGCAAGGCGCTGGGGGAGCCCATGAGGGATGCTTCCAGCGGTGTGGTGATGGCTCTCTGTCCCATCTGTTTCTAGGAACGCCGTGGAGCCAGCCTAGACATAAACGATGGGCCCTGTGGCCTGGGCATGGGCACCGAAATGAATGCCGCTCTCATGCACCGGAGACACACTGATCCGGTGCAACTCCAAGTGGCCGGGGTATGTGAACGTCCCTCTCTGGGCTCAGTGGAGGAGGCCAAGGGGCCAAGTAGAGAGACAGTTGGTCCTCCAGAAAAAGCCTCACACTGCACGGAGTTCACATAGAGGTGGAGGGAACCCAGCCAGTGATGGCGGGGCGAGAGTTCCCCGGCGGAGCTGATCCCAGCTGGCATCATCCAGCCTGCTGTTCTCAGTTTGGCTGTCGGGCCCTGCCCGGTTCTCATATTTCCTGGCTGCCATTCTAGGAGAGGGAGATCTGTTGCCTTTATCGCTGATGAGGTTGTGCTGGCACCGAGGACTGTTAGTCTGGGCATGCTGTGCTCTGTTTGTCACTTGAAGAAAATAAAAAAGACCACCTATTGATGTAGGGAAGAGCAGCTCTCAAGGATCCTCTCGGAGCCTTGAGGGATAGGCTCAGGGGTTGCTCAGGGCTAGGCACCCGGGTCTGCTTTCGGTGGCAGCAGGGTTTGAGACCTCTCTGGAGAGCCATTCATCAGCCTTCGGGGCAGGCTGCTCATGGAGAGCTTTGTCTAAAAAGACTACAGGGCCAGCAGATTCTCTTCCGTGTGTGTGCCGGTGACTCGGAGCCCAGCTTGGCCAGCCCGGGCTCAGCAGGGCCTCTCTCTGTGTTTTTCCCAACAGCGGGTGCGGTGGGCCCGGGCGCTGTATGACTTTGAGGCCCTGGAGGACGACGAGTTGGGCTTCCGCTGCGGAGAGGTGGTTGAGGTCCTGGACAGCTCCAACCCCTCCTGGTGGACCGGCCGCCTGCACAACAAGCTGGGCCTCTTCCCTGCCAACTACGTGGCACCCATGACCCGATGAGGCCCTCTGGAGGGGATGGAGGCTTTTGTCTGAAGCTGCCCGCCTGCAAGGGACAGAGCAAGGAAGAAAAGCTTGGAACTACACACACATGCGTGTATATATATGCGTGTGTATATGTTCATATGCACACGCCTATATATGCCTATGTGTCCACACATTTTTAAATAGTAATTTATTGGCAAGTTAGTTGCTTACTTAGTCGATGTGAAAGGAACTCAGGTGGAGATTTATATCCATACTTATTTTTCTACTCCCCTCTGCCAGTGTGCTGAAAGAAGGCAGCAGGGGGCTTTGGGAAGCAGGAGGCAGGGAAAAGAAATCAAAACGCTTCCTGTCCTTAAGTCAGCGTGGCTCCCTCCTCATCTCAGAAATGCTCGCTGAGAGGAGCTAAGCATGTCCACATCTGGCGCTGGACGCAGAACAGCAGGGTGGGGCTGGACTTGGCCAGGCTTGTTCTAGTTTACCTGAATGTCCTGCTTCTCCCCTGCCCTAGGGTGGGTGTACGGGCCCCTGACCTCCTCTCCCGCCAGGATGGGCAATGCTGGATGGAAGGTGAAGGCACAGCTCTGAGCTGGGCACAGGAGGGGTTCAAGGGGAGGGCTGGAGCAGCCAGGGGTCCCGGAGCCAGGGCGAGGCTGCCCCCGCCCCCCACCCTCCCCGGCCGATGCTCCCTCAAGCAAACATTCCTCAGCTAATCCTCTTGCCTGTGGCTGACGTGGCTTACCCTCTGTAAGGCACTTAGAGAAGGCCCAGCTGAAGATGGCGGACTTGAGAACCACTGTTTCGTGGTTCCGAGAGTGTCTCTTCAGGGCTCTGTCTGTTTCCCCTCTTGGTTTTCTGTATTGTGACACCGCTTTGCCCAGAGGCACAGAGAGACCCCCATCCCTCAAGAATGTTGTTTAGCACCCTGTGGACTGATTGGCCATGACCCTGGGTGGCAGGGGGCTTTGAGAGAGCTTCCTGTTCCTCCGACTGTGGGACCGCTGCTGGCGCCTCCCGGACCCACGAGTTGCACCTGGGAAGGAACCCCACTGCTGCTGTCTCTCCTTCACCTCAAAATAGACTCCTGTCTCGAAGGGCTCACCCTGGGGGCGTGAAGCACACAGCAGGCTGACTGGGGAGCAGGGAGGGACCCTGGAGGAGGACACCCAAGGTCTCAGCAGAGCCGGAACAAACCTGTCTGCCCCGCGGGCACCTAGGGGGTGGGTGTGTGTGTTAGGGTGGGGGGTGTCCTGAGACAGGAATGGAAGGGCTGGGGCGGAAGTGATCGTGAGGAGACATGGGGTGGGAGGTGAGGGGGGACGGACCTGTGGCTCTGTCCTCTTCTCACCCATCCTGCTCTGAGGAGGGACAAGGCAGCTGCCACCCAAGGCGCTGAAGAAGCCTTTCCGACTCGGAAAGTCAACTGTCCGTGTTAACGCAGGCTGTGTCCTGTTGACTCTGAAATCTCTCATTCTCTGATCCCCCTATTGCCTTTAGAGAAAAGGGGGAAATGAAAAAACTCTGTGGTGGATCTTGGGAGGGAAGAGAAAAATAGCCCTGAGAGGCAGGGGGTGTCGAGAGAGTGAGGAAGCCAGCCTCTGGAAATGAAAGTGCGAGGAGGGAGCAGGAAGCGGAGACATTTCAGAAAACCCCAGAGCAGCATGAGAGGCAGGAGGGGAGGAGAAGGGACAGGAGGTTAAGTGGGAACAGGCGAAGAAGACACTGGAGTGATGGGTCAGGGGACAGAAGGGGCGCAGGCAGGAGGGACCGAGGCTGGTGGGCAGGAGGGAGCGGGCAGAGGAGACTCGGCAGGACCAAAGACAAAAGAACAAAGGCCAAGGAGCCCTGATAAAGCCGCTGCCGTGCTGAGTGACGTGAACGAGTTACAGTAAATAAAAGCCAAACGTAGTGTTTGATTGTACAGTGTTTACAAACCTCATGCTTTAAGCGGCTTCAAGATTGGGTCCCTTTTGTCTGATGCTGTGGGAAGACCAGTCCCAGGGAAGACAGAGGAAAACAACTTAATTCTAGCCTGGGTTTTGTGCCTTGAAACACTCCTCAGGAGAGCGGTCGTGTTAATAAAACACAATGCCTTTGTTTTTACGGGCTGGATCTGGTGTCTGTGTCACACACCCCTTGGGCGGAGGGCAGAGGTCACTGACCTGGAGCAGCCGACCACACAGTGTGGGCAAAGCTTTCAGAACCCCTGTATCTGGACCTTCTGTTCCACCAAAGCTTTTTTTTTTTTTTCTTAATTGAAGGATAATTGCTTTACAATATTGTGTTGGTTTCTACCTAACATCAGCATGAATCAGCCATAGGTTTACCTACATCCCCTCCCACTGGAACATCCCTCCCATCTCCCACCCCATCCCACCCCTCCAGGCCGTTACCAAGCCTGGCTTTGAGTTCCCTGAGTCATACAGCAAATTCCCAATGGCTATCCATTTTGGATGGCATCACCGAGTCAATGGACGTGAATTTGAGCGAGCCCCAGGAGATGGTGAAGGACGGGGAAGCCAGACGTGCTGCAGTCCATGGGGCCGCAAAGAGTCAGACAGGACTGAGCGACTAAACAACAATAACAATCCAATTTACATGGTAATGCAAGGAGGCCAGAGTCGGCCTAACCACCCACAGAGAGAACAAGGACCAGACTAAGAGGACAAGGACCAAGCCCTCTCCATGTTGTGGGGGGAGGGGAGCCCTCTAGTCCTACCCAGGGACAAGCTCTCTCCACCTCCAGCATTTCAGCACCAGGGGTGGGTCCCCCGCAGGGCCTTGCACCAGTCACACAACCAGGAAACAGCATTGTCTCTGAACAGCTCTGGGTGACTTGGGAGCTACCAGGAACTTCCAGAGAAAATCCAGTTCCTGTTGGACCAGTCCGGTCTCCCTCACCGCTTGCCGAGGCTCGCAGCATTTCGAGTATCTTGTGACTGCCCCTGCCCACCCACTTTTAGATGGCCCTAGGGTGACCTGAAACCAACGTTTCTCAAAACGTTGGCTTCTCAAAACCAACGTTCCTATGAATTGCCTGGTTACTGTCATTTAGTCACTAAGTCTTTTGAGACCCATGGACTGTGGCCCACTAAGCTCCTCTGTTCATGGGACTCTCCAGGCAAGAATATTGGAGCAGGTTGCCATTTCCTTCTCCAAGGAATCTTCCCGACTCAGGGATGGAACCCGTGTCTCCTGCATGGGCAGGCAGATTCTTTACTACTGAGCCACCAGGAAAGGCCCAATGCGTGCTTGCTAAGTCACTTCAGTCATGTCCAACTCTTTGCGACCCCATGGATTGTAGCCCACCAGGCTTCTCTATCCATGAGATTCTCCAGGAAGAATACTGGAGTGGGTTGTCATGCCCTCCTCCAGGGGATCCTCCTGACCCAGGAACTGAACCTGCATCTCTTATGTCTGTCTCCTGCATTGGCAGGTGGGTTCTTTACCACTAGACTTCCAACCTAGACTTCCAACCTGGTGGCTCAGACAATAAAGCGTCTGCCTACAATGTGGGAAACCTGGGTTCGATTCCTGAGTCAGGAGGATCCCCTGGAGAAGGAAATGGCAACCCACTCCAGTACTCTTGCCTGGAAAATCCCATGGACGGAGGATCCTAGTAGGCTACAGTCCATGGGGTCACAAAGAGTCAGACACGACTGAGCAACTTCACTTTCACTTTCTTTACCACTAGCATCCCCTGGGAAGCCCCGTGGGGAATGGATAAAATGCAGAGTCTGATTCAATCCTGCATCAAGTTCTGAGGTGATGTTGCTGGGTCCGTGGACCACACTTGAGTAGCAAAGGGAAAGAACTTGGCAGTGAGCTAAACAGCTACAAAATCTAATCAAATCCCTCTTCTAGGGATACTCAGGCATTTTTTTTGTAGCTAACAAGTCACTTTGGCTGTGGAATAGACAGACATGACTCAGAACTGTCAGAACACCATTTGCGCTTGGCAGCCCAGACTTCTTCTTTTAGCATCTTCATCTCCATCAAGAATCAAGGAACATCAGAGCAAGAGGCATTCCGATGAAACACAGATAGAGATTTACTAACAGTAATTACTGTAAATACAAGCAGAGATCATAGAAATTGCGAAAGCTTTCTCAGGAAAGCCTTAAGCTCCTGTCAGGTGTGGTCCAGCTTGAAGGCAGGGGGATGGCCCTATGACATCAACAGATCTCTGGTAACTCCAAGCAAAAACAGGTCACATGTGGGACGGACTGGCGTGGTTCAAATATTTGCTGTTTGCTTTGTGTAAAATTGGCCCGGAATACCAAGCAAAGAGCCTGAGAAAAACCTGTTTTATTTTATCTCTTATGTATTGTTGGCTGTGCTGGGTCTTCGTTGCTGTGCAGGCTTTTCTCTAGTTGTGGTGAGGGGGTGCTATCCCCTAGTTGCTCTGTATGGGCTTCTCATTGTCCTGGCCTCTCCCATTGTAGGGAATGGGCCTCTAGAGCATGCAGGCTCAGTAATTGCTGCTCCCCGGCTCCGGAGCACAGGCTGAATAGTTGTGGCACCTGGGCTCTGCAGCATGTGGGATCATCCCAGACCAGGAATTGAACCTGTGTCTCCTGCATTGGCAAGCGAATTCTTTACCACTGAGCCACAAGTGTTGCCCTCAAGTCTTTAAATACTTCTATCACCTCGGAAATGCCATCATATCTCCCTTAGGCAACTGAATTCACCTCCACTTCTCTCCCTGCACACCCCCTCGGCCCCAATTCATTCTCTACACAGATCCCAGAGCCAGCTTTGTAAAACATGAGTCTAACAGCACCACTTCCCTGCCCAGCGCACTTAGGTTTATATCCAAAGTCCTAACACAAGTCTCTGAGGTCTGGCCCGTCTTCTCCCTCCCCAGCCTCCTCTGTTTCATCTCCCCTCTTTTGTTTCTTGTCCCTGCCCCGCTGGCCTTCTCTCAGCCTCCAGATGGCCAAGGATCTGTCTCCATATCTTTTACACCTGCTATTCTCTCTGCCTGGAATGCATATCCCCTGATTTTCACCTGGCTC